CACATCTGAAGGAATACAGGGTCAAAGGATTATTGAGCTGTCTCACACTGTGGCCCCCTGACAGAGTTTTGACTGGGATTTGGGTGCTATTGCAGAGCCAACATCAGCTCAATGAGGCTGTGCAGGGAGCCCAACTCAAGCCCCCAAACCACTCTGGGTCTTAGGTTTATTTTCATGGTGTTCTTGTGAACTGAGAACTTCAAAATACATCACAGTACTTCCGTCTCCAGCCACATTCACCTCATTTTGGTTAAATCCATGATCCTCCAAAACAGTGATGACCACCCTGTGACACAAATGCCACATGTGGTGCAGGCCACCTCTGTGTGTGGCACTTGCCAGAGCAGGGAGGGGAAAGGCAGCACAGCAGCAGATTAGGCAGGGAGCACGAGGCAGGGAGAAGAAAGCAGAGCAGCAGATTGGGCAGGGAGCAGAGAGCAGAGATGATTCAGCAGCAGAAGGACTCAGAAAGGGCGTATGGCTAACTTGTGGCATGCCTACCAGAAAGTTTGACTCCTACTGCTCCAAAACAATGTTCAGTAAACAGACAAAGAATATACATAGGAGGAAAATATACACAGGAGAGAAACTGGTGGGGAAAAGAGAGAAGCCTAAAGTGCTTCTTTACTTGTTCTGTGAATAAAACAGAACTCCATCCTCTAGAGTCTAGGGATCTCTAATCACCACTATGTTTACTTTCAAATAAAAGTAATAAAAAAATCCTGGAATGTGTTAATAATCTCTTGAATCCACTAACTGCAAATGGAAAATAAAACTTTTACAACCTGCACAATCTTTTGTGGGTAGCAATCTGCTAACACTGATGCTGTAGTTTAACTCTCACTTCACTGCTCTCCTAAGCTAGGGACAGACATTACATACAAACCAGTTTAAGTGATCAGAAACTGGTTTAAATCTGTAAGAGAACAGATGTTCGGTGCACATAAACCAGTTTTAAAATGGCTGAAATTGGTTTGAGATAAACCTGGTTGAATGTAGTATCAGACTGAACTGATTTGAGTCAAACTGGTTTATGCAATGTCTGTCCCAGGCCCCTTGCTGGTTTAAGTTAAACCAGACTCCCCCAGCATCGCATGCTCTCTGCTCCAGAGCAGAGCTGGCCCTTCTCCTCTGCTCCTTGGCTGGAGCTTGGCACAGACTGCAGGCATCTGCCTGGCTTCCCCTTTCTCTCCACTCCCCTCTCCACTCCCTGCTAAGCAGGGATTCCCCCATCCCCTTATGCAGACACCTCTCAGTATTAGCTAGCAGACCACATGCTGGCTATGGTCCATGCTGTGGCAAACGGGTCAAAAGCAGAATCAACAGGTAGCTGGTAATAGCTTTGTTGTTTTCTTAATGGGGTGATAAACACTGAGTTAGGGGTGATAAACACTGTGTTATCAAATGCCTGCTGGGCTGCTGTGGGGGGGAACCCCTCCCTAATCAGAGCATCCTGCTGGGGCCTGGCCACGCCCCACTCAGCTCAGCACTGTAGAAGGGTAGGGAGGGCTACTCTAGTCCCCGTCCCCCCCTGGCTTCTAGCCTGAGCCACTGCAGGCACGTGCCTGCATTTCTGGGATACCTGTACAGTTACAAACTGATTTAGCCTAGCCAGGTTAGACTAACCTGCAAAGATTGAATCAATTCAGACTCAGGCTTTTTGAATGTCTGACTCTAGCCCTACAGAGTTTCCAAGTGACATCACTCCAAATAAAATAGCCTTAGATGGTCTTTTTGAACATGACTAAAACAAACCTGAGACTAGTAATCACTATCTTTACCTAATCAGTAAAGATAGTGAGTCCTATTAATTAGCCCACAGTTGAAGATTCATGACTACTTTAGAAGGAAAAAGTCTAACTCCATTCCCTCAGAGATGCCAGGAGAAACCAGAGTTGGCTACAAATAGTACAAAATACTGGCTTGAGTACTTCTAAAGTTTCCCAACAAGAGAATACCAATGAAATTCACCTTTATCAGGCTGATAATTGGTCTTAATCATTGCACAGCCTCCAGGCATGTCCCCCAGCTTAGGAAGCATATCTGAAATGAGGAGAATGATCTAGCATACTTTGTGAAGTAGGAATGAGAGAGTGAGCCTGGACATAACTCCTGCAAGATGGAGGAACACACATCTGTACTCACTTTAGAATAGAAGAGACAGAGGCCTGGTACATCCTCTCGGGTGGGAGAGAGAGGCTGCTTGTATAGCCCCTCGGGTGCAGACAGAGGGGACCTTAGTTCTCCACCTCTAGTGGGGCAAAGGACGGCATGTATCCTTTTACTTAGTGTGTCTAGGTAAAGAGCATTCCCAAGAGAGGGAGGAGGAAAGCCTGGCATACCACAAGCAGCAAGAGAGAAGCCTTCTGCAGGATAAAGAGCTGGATGAGATTCTGCAGTGCAATGGCCAGAGAGGATCTGAAAAATGGATTCTCCTGTTATGAAGCACAGAGCGTAATTGGAGAGCTGGCAGCTGGCGGTTTTGCAAGATGCAGCCCATGGGCTCCTCATTCTAATCTTAGAATGGCATGTTCACTGCTTCCTGTGGACTACAGCAAGAACCTCTCCCTCCCTCACATGCACAGTAGAGAGTCTACTCACAGTGCATTTTACCCAAGAAAGGGGAAGTGCTTGGGGACATTTCAGCTTTTGCTTTGCACTTGGAGCCTTGAGGAGATCTGGAGAAAGGGAGCCAAGTTTTCAGGCTGAAACTCAGGAGGTATGGACAACAAAGAAAAATAGCCACAAAAAAGCTGCTATGTCCTCCTGGGCAGATGAAATCTGGGTTAAGGCAGAGTGCTGAGGATGGAGCACCCTGACCTGCTGAGATTACAAGTGTGTGCATGTGAGGACAGCCAGGTCCTGTTAAGACAAAGTGAAGTTCAGAAAAATGGCTGCTTCATAGATCTAAAGTCTGATGGCTACATTGGGCACCACAGGTCCTGCACTTTTGGTGCAACCCCCAAACCTGTGTCAAACTTAGTTGAAACTTGCCTGTATTGCATGTAGCGAACAGCTTGAGATCTGTGTGGCAGAACATTTCCCACATTGTAAGGCTGATTGCTTTTTCTAGTGATAGCCCACCCCAGGTGGCTCTGCAACTCCTCCTTCTCTTCTATGTCTCATTCTTCACTCCCAGCTATATCCAGCATGTGGCCTCTCCACTATACAGGACCAACCTGCAGCTGCAGCTCCTCCCAGATGAGTCATCATTTATCAGAGGCATTGATCTTAGCCATCTTGCTAGCCATTCCTCAGCAGTTCCTCTCACTGTTTCTCCCTTAGCTCTCTGCCTCTTTCCAATGACTCTTTTCTTTTTGGAAAGACAAAGGGATGGGAAGGAGGTCACTTGGACCCTACTGGGAGGTTTATTGAGAGGAGAAAGCTTACCTGGGCTCTTATGGAGGAGACAGACCCTTCTTTGAAAAGCAAACAGTGATATTGCTGACAAAACTGAAAGGATGCTGTTGGAGGATTTTGGTGTTAGTGAGAGGAGGTGGGGAACATGCTGGAAGGACTATCTATATGTGTTTTTAAGGCAAGATGCTCCTTAACCAAAACTGTCTTGCACCATAATGCCGTAGCTCAGAACCCGATCCAAATGTGAAGCAACACTCAGGCTGCTTCTCAGTTTAACCCAATTTCTGTCCAAAAGACAGTTATCTAAGGAACGAACTTTCCACTGTACGCTCTTAAGTTTCTACTGCTAATTCTTTCACTATGCCCTACCCTATTTTAAAAGCCAAAGTCCCATCTTTGGGCTTCTGGAAACCTGAGCTCTCCCTCTGCCTGTCAGCTGTGCCAAAGGGGCAATGCCAGTAGCTCAACCCACAATTCCTTCTAAAAGGAACATTGGCAAGGGAGAGGAAAAAATCTGGGGGGCAGGAGAGGGCTTCTGTTAGCCACAGAAATGTGTGTCCTTCTAGAAACAGCTTTAGTGGGACTTTCCTAGCTAAACAGAAGTGTGAGTGGGCAGGGGGAGGTGGTATAGGTATAGTATTAAGAATGGTGGACTGAAATGTGATATTCTCATAGATGTGGGCTGTACGCTGGAAATCTCCCTATTGTCTGGATTTTATGAGGTTCTGCTGAAAAGGCTCAGGATGAGGAAGTTAATTAATTATTCGCTGTTTGCCCAGTTTTGTTTTTACTGATACCAAATTGTGGCGCTAAAGAAAGAAGATTTTGGTTCCATAGACTCCTGATTCCTTGGTTTTTCAGTGGTGTCTGATGATACATCTACAGCAAAAGAAAACAATACATGAGGTGAGGTGGCTGGGGCATTAGGCCATGGCAGAAGTTGATCAAAACCTCATGATGGAGTTTCCCTATTTTCAGCCTGACAGGGGGTGTTTGTGTAGGGGGTGGTGTGGCTTCTCATAGCCTGACATCTCTTTGAAAGGTGAGATACAAGGAGAGAATGGACAACAGTAACTCACTCACACAAACCCCTCAAGCTGAGCTGAGATATTGGGTGCAATGGCTTCTTTCATCCATCTCCGTACAAAAGAGTCAGTGGGAGGGAAGGCCCTTCAGAACCAGATCCCTCTGCGCCATCCCATCCTCTACCTCCATCATAACTGAAACTTTTGGGAGAGAAGTCTCTTATGCTCTAATCCTATCCACCCACTGCTGGAGAGAGACAGTGAAGGGAGAGATTTGGATACAATTTTTTTTTTTTCTCACTCAAGTGAAGAACTGGAACAAGATCTTCAGCTGGAAAAGAAAGGCTTCCTCATACATTACCAGTGCCCAGAATTGCTGAAATCCCACTAAGAATGCTAAGGAAATGTTAACATATTAATAGGCCACATTTTCATGGGTAGTTTGTTCGCAGACCATCTATTTGACATCTGACAGCAGTGACTCTGAGCTGTCAGTCGACGAATGACATGTACAAATGACTCTTATACTTGGTAATTACTGACTTAGATTCATCCCAGCCTTCCTGCTTTCTGTGCTTTTGCGACTTGGACATGTAACATCTTCTGTTTTTTCAGAATCGACCAGCAGTGACCAGTGCAGAGGTAGAGAAATCAGCATCCCCATCAGTGGCTCAGTTAGCAGAAAGGTTCAAAGAGCAAGCAGCTGCCGTTTCTGGAAAGGAGGTAAGGAGTGATATGGCCTCCTAGGTAAGAAAGCCAGGATATGGGAGACTTGTCCTGCCCACAGAAGGTGAGGAACCAGAGTGATCCATGCATAAAAATGTCTTGATTTCACATGGCATTTTTCATTCTAAAGAATCATAAAATACTTCAGAGAGTGTGATGCAAACTAGGAACACTTTATTCCATGCCAACACTTTAGCATGCTTAGGCCAGCTGTCACTATGAGAAGTCTATTGCTAGCTTGCATTTGTGTCATATGCCCTGGGGACACTGAAGAGCCTAATAAGATGCCTATGGGTTCTTCAGTAATAGCTGGCATTGATGCATGGTGCACATATGCTGCCTAACTCTGTGCTTTTTTGGGGTACTTAATAATCAGAAAACATGATTTTACCAGCCAAATATCTGACATTTATGGCATGGAAAAGGAACTCCAGGTAGCGGAGTGTCCAATGGCAGACTTGGTAGCTGAGAAGCTAGCACTCTTCTTACTAGCAGCTTTCCATCACTCTGTTAAAACAGTGATAGGTGCCCTTTGAAAGACAGATAGATGTTGCTCTCAAATAGCTCTCTGACTTCGGTAAACAAAGTTTACCTCTTAATTTCAATCTGGGCCTAACTAACCAATTCCAGTGTTCTGAAGTCTTAATTAGCAGTCACTGTTGAATTAAAACCCCCCTCACATTTTGCAAAGCAAACACTTTCCAGGCTTTCCATATTTCCTTTAGATATGTATCCTCCTCTAACAGCAAGAAACTGACATCTCATTTGCATTTAAATAAATAAGGCACATATAGTCTCCTGTTTGGCTGCAGATACTTGACCCAGCTGGGACAGAGATTCTAATCTGAAGACTGAATTTGACATATGCAAGATAGATTATGACTGAACTTGGAAGAAAATAATAGTACCAACAGAAGTAAAAGCAGTAGTCTATAGGAGTGCTAGACAGTATAGTCTGGCTTTGCAGGAAAGGCAGTATCTCTTTTAATTGTGAGGTACTTACTGTGTGACTTGTGTCCTAACAAGGCCTGTATTGACTCAATATAAAGGAGGACATGGGAGCTAGTTAAAGCTCCCCTGTGCCATCATTTCCAATCAATAAGTAACTGAGTAAAAATGGCTTTGTTTTATTTCCTGTTCCAAAAGACATAAGGAACTTGAGGTTCCTGAAGAAGGGTGTTTGTGCTCGAAAGCTTGCAAAGAACTTTCTTCCAATTATTTAGCTGGTTTAATAAAAGATATCATATCTACCTAGATAACCTTGCCTGCCTATAGGCAACTTGAGGCAGGAACATTGGATACTTGTGATCCAGGCTTGCTTCACTGAGACCAGGCAGCGAGGTAATGAGGTTTGTTAGACAACTAAAGGCTGACGAATTTATTTTTGACTCTAGACCCCACAGTTGGCTTTAACCTGCCCCTGAGAAGGCAAGGAAAGTCTAAAAACTTCTGGCTGCTGATAGGCCTTCTATGGCAGGGGGAGAGAGCCCCCTCCTACCAACCATATACATACTTTTTAAACAAAGGTGTTATTTAACAAAACTACATGCTGCTAATTGATTGCCTCTGCATTTTCTCTTTCTCATACAACAACCTGCTTCCTTCTACTGCCAAGTTCAGTTTAGCATATCACAATGCTGGGGCTGCCATAATACTCACTGGACACATCTACATGAGATGTAAACTGTGCAGTAACCTAATAACACTGCGCAGTAGCATGCTGGGCAAAAACAGTGCTAATACCCTACTGTGTAGTAGTATTAAGTTACTGCACAGTAAGCCTCACTAAATAGCCATGCACCAGCACTACTGTACAGTAGCATGAGTTACTGTGCATTGATTAGTTTCTTGGTTAACCAAAGTACTAAACTTAATGTGCAGTAACTACGGTGCATTAATGAATGTGTAGACACAACCACTGTTGCCCATCCCCATTGGGCAACAGTGGGGATGGGCAACTCAATATCCAGCCTGATATTGAGTTCTGTCTGTCAGACTTAGCATGGAGGACATTAATGGGGACCTATGGAGTATCACTACAATAATACAACATGGCATTGCAGTGTTACAGTATATGTCAGGTCCACAGTGAATTGGTATGGAATGACACTGTTTCAGCTTGATTACACTGCCACAGGGTATTGTGGTTTGCTGATACAGCTTCTACATTGAAAATCATGAGGCACAAGTTTGTCACACCAGACAGAATTCTGAAAAGCATCCAACTCTTTGAAAGGGGAAGGTGCCACAATCTAATTTCCACATCCCTGGCCATCAGGAGGTGAAAATTATGACAAAATTCCCTAAATATTTCACCACCTTGGTAACTTGCCAGAGGGTCACAAAACTGCTGTGAAGTACAGAAGATTTAATCTGACATTTCCAATAAAGGGGAATATGTCATTCCAATCAAGATGGAGCACTTTACCCAGGCTTCAGGTTCCTTGCATGGACACGACTGTGTAACTGAGAAGCTGGAGTTTTGGAGAGACTGTGCTAATGCTAAATGCTAATAATGTGCTAAGCATTTCCTTATTCTTAGCATAAACTAGATTTTTTTTCCAAAAACCCAAGCAGGTTCAGACTAATCGGAGTTAGAAAACATACTCTTCACTCCTGAGTCACTTACCACAACTGAGACCTGGCGGGGTCTGTATGCTGTACCTTTCTCTAAAAGGTCAGTGGGGCTGTGAGCCTTTGGTCCCCAGAATACATCACACACAGAATAATGAGATGGCGAGTGAATTAAGTAGGAACCTGAGACCCATTAGAAAGAAGAAGCCTTAGTAATACATAGAGACAAGAGAGGAAGAAAGAAAAGAAATTACAAGCTGTTCTAATGGGGGCTTTCCAACAGGATGCTCATTAGAGCTCGTGGGAGCCCTGGAAACATCTCCACCCTTCATTGCTTCCTGTCAGGCCCTCTGTTCACATAGAACCAGGAGATTGTTTCATATCCCATAAATTGGGTGATATAACAAAAGGAGTCCATGTTCCTAAAACTAGATGGGGTTTTATTAAGAGAGCTATTTATGGAGATGCTGGAGTGCAGCTAGCACTCTAGCCGTGTGCATGAAGACTGACTTCCTGATTCCTCCTCCAGACTCTTCCTTGTGGCAACCTAACATGCGACTGCCATGTGGATTTCTATGGTAATTGCCCTCCAGCACCTGAGTTTCACCCCTTCCTTTGTCACTCACCTAGCTGTTTCTCTCTTCAGGTACCAACCAGTAGACCAACCAGGAGGAAACCACCATGCTCCCTTCCCTTACACATCCACAAAGTGGAGGCAGGCCAAAATAACGAGCAAGTAAGTATCAATGTCATTAAGGAGTTTCCTTTTCCATCCACAAAAAATACCCTGCATATAATCTGCTGTTCCTTGCTGCCTTCCCACCCCTGCTGTCCACATTCATGTCCCAGTTCTGCTTATAAATTGCTCTCTTTCTGAGCACAGCTCCAAAGATTCTACCTGATATTCACATCTCAGGCTCTTTAGAGCAGGGACTGGCATGTATAGGGAGGGACCTACTTAATTTGCACTTTCGTGGATTTTGCGGAAACTACAAAATCCAGGATTGTCTGCAAAATCCACAAAATCAACACAACAGCAAACGTAACAAAAATATTCTGGTTTCCCGGTGAGTATCAGTGGTCTTCGCTGCCAGGAGGGAAAGGCACCAGCTAGTGGGGCAGCACAAAGGGCAGAAGACAGAATTGCAGCTGCCCGTTCGTCCCTCCTTCCACCCTCAGCTGGGGCCTGTCAACCAGTCAGCACCGCGGGAGGGGGTGGCATGAAGGACAGCCAGCAGTCACGATAGTGACTGCCCCCACATCCTTCCTCCCCACAACAGGGCCTCTCTGCCAGTCAGTGCCGAGGGGTGGGGCTGCTGCAAAATTGGCTCTATGTGCTGCAAGCAGGCCATGAAAAACCCTTTGCCTTGCCACAATTTAATTAAGTCCCTTGCCATGTGTCATGTTTTTACAGCATATAACACAATGAGAACTGACCTGGTTGTAGCCTTAGATGTTATTGCAATATAAATAGTAATGTTTCTGCTTGTGGATTCTTTCCTCATTCTTGACCCAGTGTTTTAAAAAGGTGGGCACATGTGTAGTTTAGCCAGAACCAAAAATATCCCTTCAGCTCCACTAAACAAGTAGCTCATAAAACATTTTCATGAATGTGAAACCATTGCTACCATCTGCGAGGAATGTCAGTTTTATGCCCATCTTACAAGGTAGGGAAGTGACCTCAAAGGTTAAATATCTTGTCCAAAGCTGCATACACAGAGTACAGTGCTAGGAATAGAATCCCAAAATCTCCAATCTTACCTGGTCAATTGTATTACACCCCCTACCTCATACGTGCCAGTCAGAAGGGAGAATATTGCCTATTCCCACCAGTGATGCATGTATGTGCATGTATAGGATACGGATCAGTTTGCTACCTGCTTTTGATAATCTTCCTCATGTGGCATTATATTACTCCACGCATCCTCTCCTCTCTCTTTGTTCTGGAATGCTCCTTCCCCTACAGATTTAGATAGTTGGACAAGGAGCTGGGAAAGTGGAGAGCAGCCTTTCTTGTGAGGATCCCCTCTTACTTCCTCAGATCTCTCTGGCTTCGTCCTGGCTTCAGAGCTTTTTCTTTCCTCATCTGGCTTATTTTGGTCTTTTCTCATTTATTTCCAGAAGCCATCTCCAAATGCGGGTCCACTTCCCAAGGTCAAGGTGAAAAGCTCTCCCATGATTGAAAAACTGCAGGTAGGTGAGGGATGCTGTCATCCTCATTGCTGTAATTAAACTGAATAGCACTTCACATGGTTATGACTGTAGGACTCCTTAAAAGCTTGTCACTTGCCTTTTTTTTTTTATACCCAAAATAACTCACAAATTTACCCAGCATTTGTTACCTCCTTGTATCTATCCATAGCACCTGTGTGTATGCTGGTTGGGACAACTACTAAGCTGAGTGCTTTTTGATATATGGCCTGTTAATGCCAGCTGGCACTCCTAGAATGTGATCCTCCTAGTAGTGCCTATGTAATGCTGCCTGAGACCTCTGCTAATACAAGTCTGCTCATAGCAGTGTCCTATTAGTATTGCCAAGGACACCAAAGCATGCAAACTTTTATTAATAGCAGTTTACAGGGACGACTCCAGAGTGGGAGCTTTATTACAGTTGCAAACTAAGTTACTTCTGTGGTATTCTCTTGTTAAATATAGTGTTCATTCAGAGGGCTCAAGAATGCCCACAGCTAGAACCTTTAGGTGCGGCATGGGCAAGGATAGAGAAACTGGTTTAAAACTCCTAGCTATAATAAGTTGACTGATCTGTTCACAGCCTCTCCTAATGGCAAGCCTCTGTAGACATGTTTGCTTGGCCAGGACATTGGAAAATCCCTTAGTCTCAGGATGGCACAAGAGTAATCCAGAGATCAAGCTGTTTCTGCAGGACAAGTGTCCAAGTCATAACTTCCCCACATGGAATTGTTTGTTGACAGTATCACCAGGAGAAACAGAAAGCCAACAGCTAAAATGTCTGTGTTCCTGAGAAGTTTAGCACTATCTCTGTTAAGAGCAAGGGCTCCCCCGGGTGGCTACTGAATGATCCTACTTGTGTCTGTTCTGTTCAGTTCATTTCTGCCAGGGGGAAATTTGGGTGGTAGAATACAATACTTGAAGAAGGAAGTTTATTATAAGAACTTATTTTCTTTGCAGGCCAATCTGGCATTTGCTCCAGCTGTGCTGCTTCCAGGTACATCTCCAAAGAGTCCAGGTCTGAAAGTCATGCCGTCTCCATTTAGCACTCCCCCTTCAACTCCCAGCAGCCCAGGTATTCAGTCCCGTTCCAGCGAGTCAGATGAAGCACCAGTTAGCTTTGATCAACCACCAGAGGGCACTCACCTGCAAAACTATAACAAGGTAAAGTGTCTGCTGGCTTTCTCAAGTCCAGGAGGCCAAGGCCATTTTATTCCTGGGAATGGAACTGGAACAGTCTAGTCCTGTCTTGAAAGAATGTTTTTATAGCCAAAAGAGGAGTTCAGTGCTTCTACCTTTAATGCTGGGTTTTTGGGTGTAGCTGTGTTGGTCTAAGGACATAGGCAGGCAAGGTTCTTTGAGTAGATGTGATATGTTTTATTAGACCAGCTGAGTAGTTGGGGAAAAGTTCTTAGCAAGCTTTTGGGTGCAGTCATCCTTCTTCAGGAATTGGGAGTCTCTGCTGTTCACCAGACTGCTGGACCAGCAGAGACTCCCGATGCCTGAAGAAGAGTGACTGCGCCCAAAAGCTTGCTAAGAACCTTTTCCCAACTACTCATTTGGCCTATCTTTAATGAGCCTCTGACTGTAGTTCAGGGGGCTTTCTTCTCTGCCTATATTTAAATTTATTTTATTAGACCAACAAAATAATTGGGAATAATGTTAGGCAAGCTTTTGGGTACAAGGTGCTCTTCCTCAAGTCTGTGAAAGAAGCAGATACAGCCTAAACTAAATACCAGTTAAAACAATAACTTTTGTTTAACATCATTATGTAAAAGGAACTAATTAAAGAAAGGGAAAAGGGCCTGTGGAACAAAAAACAGATATCAGAAGTAGCAACAGAACAAATAAAGAGCTACTTACATAGCTAGACCTAAAGAAGGGGACAGGGTGGAGGCTGTGGAGTACACAGAGGTTAACAGAGAAAGCAGGTAAATTGTAATGAGCCATAAAACGATTGTCTGTGTTAAGTCCAGTAAAGCTGTTAATTTTGTTTCTTGTTCCCTGAACCATTAACAACACTGCAAGACTACTTGAAGTCTTCCCCACCGGTGCTTCCTAAATATTAACTTCAGGCAATCCCCATGTAAATCAGCTTCAGTATAGAAATAACTAAGACATACAATGAAAATTACCCTTAAATAGAATTCCATGGACAACAGATTCTAATTGTCTTCAGGTGGTGAAGGAGCATGATTCACCCACTTCAAGTGAGAATGAATTGGATTGATCTTACATTTGCACACAACATTATATCAAATTAAAGGACAAAAGCCAAGTTGTGCAATGAATTAGTACATTTTTAGGGTGACTGTATGGCACTGCAAGCCGAATACAGCAAGATATTCTGCATTGTATTTATTTTGTACCTGGTTTTTACAGAAGTTTGGCCCATGGATATTCAACAGCATAATTGCTATATTATTTTATTATCAGCAAAAAATGAGTGAAAATTGACGGGTGGCATTTTCCAAGTGGTGCTTTAACTTTAATAAGGGGTGTCTTGACTCTAACAAGAGGTACCTTGAGTCTAAAAAGGTTGAGAACCGCTAGCTTAACTTCCATCTGAGCAGGAGAGGCTATATTGCATCCTGGCATCTCTTGTCCCTGCAAGCTACAACTCTATTGAAATGACAATACCTGATCAAGTTTATTCCAATTTAGTACAGTCCTTAGATTTCTGGCTAGCTGCAAATCCTGCTGTCATTTGAGAAAAGTTGGGTTCTCCAAGACATAGCAGAATATGAGAGGGTCCTACAGATTTGGACTTGGAGTGAGTCTGTAGCTTCTGATTCTCTGTGGATTATCAGGCTACAAAGAAAAGAAATTTCTTTATCCTCTCCTACCATTTGACTGCCAAAAATAAAATTGCTGTGCTTCTAAATCAATTTCCTGCAAGTGAGCACCTGCATAATGAATCTACAGTCCTCAGGTCCAAATTTGTGTGTGTCCAGGTTCACTCATGTAAATTAGCTAATACAGTGTGAATTAGGATGATGATTACTGCTTCTTTGGAAAAGCAAAAGGGCGGTGACTAGGAGAACTGGTGTCTGGGTAACCAGCACTGCACTCACTGACACAGCTTAGATAATTTAGTCTCTGCATTTCCTGTAATCAGGTGCGGACAAGAGGATCAATAAAGCGGAGACCTCCCTCCAGGAGATTCCGAAAGTCTGGAAGTGGTGAAGAGTTAGGGGCAACGGTTTCATCTCAAGAAAATGGTGCAAAGGAAGAGAATGGTGATGAGGTGTTTGCACCCAAGGGTAAGACAGATGAGCCAGGAACAGAAAGCAAAGCAATGGAGAAACAGATTGGATCTGATGAAAATTCTCCATCAAGGAGAAGATCCTTCAGGACAGAAAGTAAAGATGAGAGAGAAAAGCAAGCAGAGGAAACAGCCCCTTGCAAGAGCAGCACAGAAGAGGAAACAGTGACACATTGCAAGAGCAGCACAGGAGAGGAGGAAGGGAAATCAGACAAGAGAAACACTGAGACCTTGTGCCAGGTGGCTGTGGAAGACAAGGAAGAGAAGGTGTGCAAGAGCACTGTGGGGGAAAAGGAGGATGACAATGTCTGTGAACCCAATAAAAGGGACAAAGAAAAGGAAGAGGTGGAGAAGAAGGAAGTTGAGAGCACTGATACACAGGAAAAATCAGACATCCAGGAAAAGGACTCAGAGCCCGGGACACTGCAGCTGGCAGCAGACACAGACACCGCCAGTGAGAAGCCCAGTGTGACACCAACACAAGAACTGGGCACTGAGTAAATATGATGCAGGTGAGGTGGTTCACCACAGCAATTGGGCATAGAATCATAGAAAATTAGGGTTGGAAGGGACCTCAGGAGGTCATCTAGTCCAACCTTCTGCTCAAAGCAGGACCAGCCCCAACTATCTCATCCTAGCCAAGGCTTTGTCTAGCCGGCTCTGAAAAACTTTCAAGGATGGAGATCCCACAGTCTCTCTAGGTAACCTATTCCAGTGCTTTACTACCTTCCTTGTGAGAGAGTTTCCTCACATCTAACCCCAACTTCGCTTCAGCTACTTGAGAAGATTGCTTGCTGTTCTGTCATCTGATCTGCCACCAGTGAGAACAGTCTAGCTCCATCCTCTTTTGAACCCCTTTCAGGTAGCTGAAGGTTGCTGTTAAATCCCCACTCAGTCTTCTTTCCTCCAGACTAAATAAACCCAGTTCCCTCAGCCTGTCCTCCTCCTAAGTTACGTGCTTCAGCCCTGAACCGTTTTCATTGCCCTTTGCTGGACTCTCTCCATTTGTCTACCTCTTTTCTGTAGTGGGGGACCCAAAACTGGACACAGTTCTCCAGATGTGGCCTCATCAGTGCTGAATAGAGGGAAAGAATCACTTCTCTCAATCTGCTGGCAATGTTCCTACCAATGCAGCCCAGTATGCCATTAGCCCTTGGTGACAAGGGCACACTGCTGGCTCATATTTAGCTTATTGTCCACTGTGACCCCCAGGTCAAATAATACCTGGGAGTTACACAAAATGGCAGTGTCATTATTTCTGTTTCCCACTGGTGCTTCATAGATATTAACTATGGCCAATCCCAGTATGAATCAGTTTCCATATAGGAACACCTAATGAAGATAATCAAAGCATGAGATGTGGCAATGACAGAGATGGCGTGTTCAGCACAAGGAGAAAATATTGTTCTAGTTATGTGAAGAAAGAGGGAGACATACTGACCCATGACACTCTGCTCAGCTCCACAGCATTTTTAAGGCAGTGTGGTGGAAATCCCCCCCTACAGAAACTACACTGTGCATTTAGATTTCTACTTGCTTATTAAAAGGGACACTTCCAGGAGACACTATCAGCCATCAACATTCCCAGTCCATGGTTATTCACTGAGCCAGGCACCTCCTTAGAGGTTTTTAAGGCCTGGCTCTACAAAGCCCTGGCTGAGATGATCTAATTGGGGCTGGTCCTGCTTTAAGCAGGGAGTTGGACTAGCTGACCTCCTGAGGTCCCTTCCAGCCCTAGTTTTCTATGATTCTATGATCAAAAACAGGCATCTACCGCTTGAAGTAGAGAACTTCCACTAGACACTAGGGCTTGTGTTATGAAACCTCTTACCTGGCCTTTAGTCACTGAAGGGCAAACATAATTACATGTGCCTTCCCCCAGAGTATAGTAATGCCCCCTGCATGCTAGTTATTACATAGTTATCTTGCTGAAAAGAAAACCCAGCAACATGAGATCCCTATCTGTCCCCATCTGGGTTTCCGCTTGTCCTAGTTTTTGATGATCCGTCTCACTCTGTGGGGTCTAATCTGGGTCTTGAAGGGAACCAGAATGGAGCTGAATAAGAAAGTGTAATTGGAAGGCCTTGGTTACCACTCTCCAATTCAAATACTGACTCGGATTAGACTATGAGAGCTAGGAAACTTGGGCTGAGTGCTTGGGCTTACTTATAGCATGAAAACCATAAAAGAAGCCCAAGGATAAAGGACGGCTCAGAGGGCACCCAGATTCTAGACTTTCCTAGAGCGCTTAATGAATTGTAACGTATGTTTATATCATTACTTTCCTTGATGTGTTTTATCATTCTCCTTTTCTTTAAAGGAAGAAAAAATCAGGACACAGGAGACATCTGAAGAGGAGCCAAAAAGTCCAATTAAGGTGTAGCTACTGGAGGACCTTCCCTGCCAGAACAGCAGAATATGAATAACATGAAGGATCTAGAAGCAGCCGAGAGACCTGTGACCCAACACTGGTTCACTGCTCTTATGCCATAATGCTCTATGGGAGAAGGAAAGGCTGGAATGAAGATGGCTTTTTATCATGGCAGGCTTCACCAGCTGGCTCTTCTTGGGTACATTCAATCACTTTAAAATAATGTCCGGACTGGAGACTTAATACATACTTATCTTGGACCCAGCAAACATCACTGTGTCTGGGTCTGTTATTTTCCATTACTGCTGAGCTCCAAATTTTGTTTTATTCTCTGTTTCAGTCTTAGATGCAGTTTATCAGTTTCAGACATAGAAAAGTTGTGCCTATTAAATAGCTTCTTTTGAAATATTTTTCAGTTTTCAAACATAAGTAAATAATGTTTTAAAAACAGGGAAAATATATAAATATGTTATATGGCAGACGTGAACCCTAAATATGGAGAAGAGCCTTCTGAAATTGTTTATAAAGCCTCTTTGATGAATTTTCACTTGGACCAGCATTAGGGTGGCCAATCTGCACTTGAAACATCTTATTACTAACATCCAACAGCTACTCTTAACAAATGTGATCTAATTCTTTGGTGTTTTTTAGTGTTGGTGAAAAGTAGCATCTAAAAAACTTGATCCAGAGAACATAAGTCCTGTAATAGAAAATAACAACAAAAGCTCATTAGCCCATCAATGTGCTTCGATCCTAACTGAGTAGGACCGGTATAAATGTATCTTCATAGCTTATTCTACCTAAGACTTCCATTCTGAGACTTCCCACATGTGGCTAATTAGTACTGATTTTTTATGACATGGACAATAGTTTGCGAGACCTGAACTGAAACAACCTACACATTTCATATAAGCCAGTAAAGCCCTTTTGAATGGGTGAATTTCACTTAATATGGCCCAAGCTGGATGTGAACTTGGTGAATTTTCATCCCTTTAAAAATTATATATAAGAATGTTTCTTAAGAACTCTTAGAGGAAGAGTTTAAAAGGATTTGGCAGTAGAAGTATTTAGGTAATGTGATGCTGAGAACCACATAGGTTCTCAAAGGAAGCATTTAGGTCTCTGCTAAATACTTCTGAGGCCTAGCTGGCTCAGAAGATGAATAGTGGCTGAGCTGTGGAACCATTTATCTCTCAGTTGCATTTACTATCTATTGGCCTTCATGAAATGAGTTGGAAGCATGTCTCGGTTCCATACCCAGTAGACAGGTGTTCACATAACTACAGTATAGCTACAGCACACGGTTTGATGATACTACCAACCAAAGAGTAAGAGAGGCCAAAGTCTGAAAGGGCCATAATGACTGAGCCCCCTCTCCTCTTTGAAGGGGACACTTCAGGTCAGGACTCGGGACACACTGGCAAGGGAAATACTGAAGAAAGCTTGCTTGGCTGCTGCTTGTGCTGCACCTTTTTTGTGAACAGACACCTGTATAAGATCTCTGGGGAATGGTCATCAATCTATTCTATGTCTCTATAGCACTGACCACAATGTGGCGCAGAATAAGTGTTGAACAAGGGTGCTCATTACTGGGGCTCCAAGGCTTTCCAGTTAGGCCAGTAATAACCTACAGTCTCAAAGGATGTCACCTTTCACCAGTACTGAATTCACAAGATGACAGATTGATTCATGATCCTTTTTACTACACCCTGCTTTCCATCTTCCCAAATGAAAGCACTAAGAGACTGTCAATTTAAAGCCAGTGGGAAGTGATTGGTCTCACCCCTTGTGCCTAGGTTTCTCAGTATTTGCAACCACCACAACCTCTTTGAGCCATATCACGATGCATCATTGCCTTTGAATATATTTGAATATGTTTGCTTAGGCTTGTGCTGCAAGCCAGGCTGAATTATAACTGTAACATTTCTGTTCTCAGAAGAGGTATCAGGATGTCTGTATAATTGTGCATTATTGTATATGTGCGTAAGCGTGTTTAGAGAATGTGTGTGCTGAACAAGGGTGTGGAATTTGCTCTCCTTCACCTTGAAAATATCATGGGAGAACAAAGGAAATAAAAGAGTGAAACAGAAAAGAAAAATAACTGTATTTAATTCTGGGGAGCTGCAAAAGCCCAAATGAGGATATGTAATGCTGGTAGGGGCAGGCCACAGAAACAGAATACATTGTACCCATCTGGTTTGTAATTTGTAGATGCTGGCTGCTGCCTGCAAGATGCTGAAATTTGTAGCTCAGCAAGATGCTGTGCAGTAGCATTATGTGGCACGAATCATGACGTGACACTGCTGTGCAGTAGTAACGAGCTACTGCACAGTCAGTGTCACCAAGAAGTCATGTGGGGCTAGTACTGCACAGTAACATTGAGTATGCAAGTACTAAATAACTGAGCAGTCAGCGTCTCATGTAGATGCCGCCTCTCTGTAGCAGGTCCCAATCCTGACAGTTGTGACTCAGCTCTTCGTCCTAAGGTCAAAGGTGAAGGTCTTTGGAAGGAAAACTTCAAAGCAGAAGCAGGTATCGTGTCTGCACTGTGCAGCCATTAAGCACTCCATGGTGCTCTAACAGTATAAGTTTACCTTGGAGTAAAATCATCCCTCCACAAACACAGTTGTGTAGTATATATTACATAAGTTACTCTCTATATCCAGCAGGCCACTACTGAAACACCTTTTTCCTGCTGCCTGTCTAGGGCAGTGTTTCGCAAACTTTTTAGACTCAAGATATACCTGAAGACATTTGAGGCACCCCTGGACAGATTCAAAGCACTCCTCAGAAAATGCCAGCTCTTATTTTTCACTTGTTTTTTTACTACAGAAAATTCATAAAGCAATTCTTTTGTTGCAAAGAATTCAGTGAGACCATACAGGGCAGGATGTTTTTAATGCTATGGATTCTTATTTGAAACTTCTGGGTTTATCATGTGAATCCTGTTTGCACACCTAACTGTGCAAACATTATGGCTACGGACACACATTCAAAAAGCCAGAGCCTGAATTGATTCAATCTTTGCAGGTTAGTTTAACCTGTCTAGATTGAACCAATATGCAAGTGAACAGACATTCACGAAATGCAGGCACAAGCCTGCACTGGCTCTAGCCATGTGCCAGTGGGTGCTACAGCATACCCGTGGCTGCAGGGAAGCTGTGCTGGGGGGCATGGCCAACACAGGCAGTACCTCAGAGTGAACTTGCCAGGGAGGGAGTTGAATTCCCCCCTCCCTGTCCCACAGACACAGACCTTTGCCTCAGGGAGCCATGCCACCTGGCATCTGGCCATGCCCCTCCTCCGCTGCTGCAGCAGTGAGGGGGGAGCACACAGAGGACCCTGATTCAGGTCCATGCCGGTGGGACAGGGAGCAGGGAATTCAACCCCCTCTCTGGCCAGTTCACTCTGAGCTACTGCCTGAGCTGGCCATATCCCCACCGCTGGAGCAGCCAGCGGAGACATGCAGGTCTGCACAGGTGGGACAAGTGGGGGGAGGGATAAACCTCTTTCCTGCCCACTTCTAGGGGCCAGTGTCTGGCCAGGCCCCTGCACCTTCCTCTTCTTGCTCCAGGTAGGGAGTGGAGGTGCGAGGCCAGCCCTGCTCTGCTGGAGCAGAGATCATAGCCCAGAGAGCATGCTGGGATGCTGGGGAATTCTGGTTTAACTTAAACCAAGAGAGGGTCCAGGACAGAAGTTGCATAAACCAGTTTGAGCTCAATCAGTTAAGTCTGATACTACATTCAACCAGGTTTATCTCAACCTGGTTTTCGCCATTTTCAAACTGGTTTATGTGCACTGAACTTATGTTCTGTTACAGGTTTAAACCAGTTTCACATAAACTGATTTATGTGTAATGTGTGTCCCTAGCCTATGTAGCACCTTTCAACACCCTTGAAAGGATTTCAGGGCACTCACTCTCAGAGAATCACTGGTCTAGAATAACAGACAGTCATCTTGGGGGAGGAAACAGAGCTGCTCAGTGCCAGCTTGAGGTATTGTAGTGGACGGAACAAATTTACTCCATGAAGGAACCTCCACATATTCTACATCAAAGAGGTGACTCTGATTCTGAGAAGAGCTTGAAGGCAGGTGTGAACAAGACATAATTAAAGCAGGCTATCTCCCCAGCTTCTCCGGAATAGGGCAGACACTATCTCCATACCTCCTACTTAAGAGCAGCTGGGAGATATAGGTATAATCATTTCTAATCCATGGACTGAGGGTCATCATATGCATTGTCACTTCAGTGAACAGAGTTCATTGCATAACAGGGGCTTCTGGCATGCCTCCATTTAGCTCTCTCCTTCAGAACAACTTCCCTGTGTGACACCCTCCCATCTTTCTTAATTGGAAATCTCCGCAACTTCTTTGCCCCCTGTCATACCCCAGGTGCTCTGCATGCTCCCCATTTCCTCTTCCCCATTAGTATTTTCTCTCTCCTTTCTGTATGGAAAATAAGTCATCCAGAATGTTGACCTGTTCTGCACTACTGGGAGATGTGTGAAATAAGATAGAGATATTGTCAGACTGAGAGGTCTTAACTAGTTATTTGATTTCTAGGCAACTGTAGAAGTGCCTTAAGCTCAAATGAACAGCTGGTGGGAATTCCAGGAAGCTGTAGTTTTCCAGTTTTCCCCAAAATAAGTAGGGTTATGCTTATTTGTGCCTAAAACATTCCCTGGTGTAACATTATATCCAGGAAGACAAACACACCAGTGCACTGATTATAAGTTCAGAGAGGTAGTTAACTATTTTAGCCAGAACTCAGGCAGAAGACAGTTTAAAAGGTGCAAATCTACCCTGTCTTCTGCCCCATAAATTTAGCCAGTATAAAGTGCATATTTCCCAGGACTAGACTTTTAGACTTTTTATGGTCACAGTGATGTCTCAGACTCCATAGAAAAGTACATAAATAGTCTTTAAACCCTAGGGTGACAAAAAACCATACCATGAGAAAGGAAATTATGTTATTGTTTATAGTAGTGTTAGTAATGTTGCAGGTATGATGGTCCAAGAATTTTGTGATACTTGAGGATTTTTAGGGTGATCTTTTTTTACTGGACCAACTGCATAGTTGGGATAGAGTTAGACATGGTTTTGAATGCAGTACATTCTTTTCAGGTCTGAGAAGTGAAAACCTGCTTTTAAAAAAAAGGAAGAGTGGGGAGAGGAATTCCTAGGGGTAGCAGACAAACAATTAGCAGAAGAAAAAAAGATGGAAGATGAGGATCTATCAAAAGGCAGGATGGTCATTATCTCCTTTTATTTGTGGAGAGAGCTCAGGAATTGGGTATGTTATAATATCCCATGCAACCAATATCAGTGTTAAATCATTGATTCTTAGTGTCCAGTCAACTTATGTTCCTGAGTTTGCCTTTTAAAGGTGTTAGATACATTTCCCTTGAGCACAAGGGTAGTTAAGTCAGAGAGGGAAAAAGTGTTCTGTGAGAAATGTGCTTGTAATGATGTGTGTCTGTCTTTTATATTTTTTCAGTAAGAGTTCATTCTAGAGCATAGTTGTTGTTTAGTTTTTACCCACATAGTTGCTGGTCCATTGGATCAGGCATATCACCTTTTGGGAAAGGCATGTGTAAGAGCTATCAGTTCTGATGGTTTTGTTACAGGGGTGTTGATTGTAGTAGCAGTGGAGATGTGCCAAGCATTTCTTGCCAAGGCTAAGTTATTGCTAAGCTATTATTTATGTAACAGTGTTGGCATGCATGGTGCTTTAAAGATAAGAAGTGTGGAAATACAAGTTTCCTGGCTAGATCTTCAAATCTCAAGAAAGAAAACACAAACAAGGGAATGTGGAAAGGAATGTAACATGAAAACACAGGGACCAGGCAGTGTAGGCGGTGGAAGGCCAGGGCTAACTGGGCTTAGCCTCCCCAAACTGGGACAGTGACAGCAGCTCCAACGCCTCACTGACAGCGTAGTGCCCTGCCCAGCACCCCCCACTACGCGCTTCTCCACTGCTGTGCACAGCACCAGCGCATGCTGGCCTCTGAACGGCCCTGAGGAAGACAGGGACGGGGTCCCTGCACTGCCCAGCCCCACCCCCCGTAATAATTTCTAGTGCCACTTATGCCAGGCAGTTATGTTTTTCCATGGCACTCTTCTATGGTTTTCTGTTTTGTTTAAACTGAGTTGCGAGCCAGATAGCAAGCTGGGGTGAGGCTCAAGGGCCACTACTGATGGCAGCAGTGTATTTTGACCAGCCTTGGAGCCACTGGTGATGCATAGGGGGTGCACGCAGGTGCACGTGCACCCCCTGCGAGAAGGCACTGTTGACACTGCCAGCAGTGCCCGTGAGTGTTC